TTGCTGCAGTTTATAAAGTCCAAGTCCCCTCCAGCCGATCTCTTTCCAACCACCGTCAACCAATTTATTGTCAAGCAGAAGGGGAGTGGTCTGAAAAGAAAGCAGCTGAAGAAGAAGAAGACAAAGAAGCAGAGTGCATGGATTCAAAAGAAGGTGCACGAACACAGGATTAACAAATTGACGAGGAAAATGCAAAAGTGGAACCCATTTTAATTTCGTACAAAATTTATTGAATTTTGATGAATTTTCTTGTTACAACATTTTTGATTTAATAAATGAATCTTGTTATTTATAAATTCTTTGACTAATCTATCATTTTTAGAATAATCCTTTGAAAAATTACTGTACACATTTCTTACACTAAAACCATTTACTCGATTCCATAAAAACCAAATTGAGTAGTGCCCGCATACGTTACTGTTTGGAGATTGTAATTGGACACAATTTTGTATTGCACCAGTTCCATGTTGTTCGATAAATTCACGAAAATTACTTGCATAAGCATCAACTCCTACTCCATAACTGCAGAAAAAATTTATTGGTAGGTTCCTGTTTTCAATAAACATGCATGTCCAGTGTTCGCCTGGATGAGAAGTGGAACGGTTATTGATTACAATAGCAATAGGATAATGTTCTAAAACAAGTTCATCCAACTCATCACAGGCACAAACATCAAAGGTAATTTTATTTTTACAAAACAGTCCGGCTAGAATTCGGTAAATCTGATCCGTGTTCATTTTTACATGGAGTAGTCCTTAAAGTAAATATGTCGATTCTTGTCAACGTACAAAACTGATTGATAATCACAATGACAAAGAACTGTTAGGCAGACGTAGTTGCATTTCGTAACTTTATCTCGATTTTCACACTTCCATGTCTTGGTATGGCGAACCCATCATGTTGGTGTCTCAAGTCAAAAACATAGAGAGTTTTTCCAGTTTTAAAAATATCGAACGTTAGTTCTATTCCAGTGTCAACATTTGATAGACCCAGTCCCGAAAATACGCTAAAGTACGCTTCAATACTTTTCTTATTATCGAAATCAAGTTCAAACGTTTGAGATGTTACTTGCTCAGAGTTCACGGTTACAGTGATGCTTGATATATCTGCTTGAAGAAAGTTAAATGGGTTTTCATTGTAATGTCCGTGTACAGCTTTACTCGAGACGATGCCGACTACAAGACGATCTGGCAAAAGACCCGTAATTAGACTCTCGTTTGTATACTGTAGTGTTCCGGCAGATAGGGAAAATGATTTCATGTCTCCTCTTCGCATTGGATAGCATGCAGGTTGACCCTTTTCCATTAATCTTAAATGTCCCATTGTAATTGATGGAAGTAGAGTATGCTTTTGGACAACTAATTTAGCTTCCATAATGTGAAGTTGTGCTGCATCTTGTGCTGATCCGGAGGTCTTGCTTAGCAGACAAAAACTGTCTGGTGCTCGATATAGTACAATTTTTATATCAATTCCTGGGATGCAAAATCGGTTTTGGTTAAATATATCCGTCTTCAGTTTTCCACACAGTTCAAACACTTTGCTATTATTTGCCAGTTTCTCTCGAGTTTTCCACCCTTCATCTCCTGTGGTTGGATCTGCTTCTTTGTGATACAGAGCAGCCATTGCTTGAGTCTTGGTATACTCTTTGCCAAAAGATAGCAGAGTCTCCAAGTAAGCCTTGTATGGGTATAATGAAGTTGGGGAAGTGATTTGCGTATCATTAAAATAAATAGCAACTTGACTAAACATTGAATGTAGAAAATTGTTAACTGGCGCAGTATCAGTTTGAGCAGCATCCCTATCAGCTCCCTTGCTATCTACAATCTTGCAGCGAATATAGAGTTGTGTTTCAGAAAAGTCAATGTATTGTGAATCATTTCCTTGAATAATAAATGTCAGAGGAGTGGATCGATCTGAAATGTTTGTTATTGGATGATAATCAACTCGGTGTGAGCTGGCAAGAGTCAAGTCGTAGCCGGGTTCAGAGAATAGATCAGTCTCTGACCGAATAAAGTTAACAATTTGCTTTGGTTTAGCCATTTTCTCAATCAAACAAGGATGGTTTGGAAATAAGCTTTCGTCTTGACGATTTCTTCTTCTTCTTCTTCGTTTTCGACTTTGATTTTAAACGTTTGAGAGGTTTACGTTTTGGCTTTCGTTTGATTTTACGTTTTGTTGGTTTACGAGTTCTTGCTTGACGTTTTCGAACTCTCCTTCTTCGTCTAATCCTACCACCAGACTGGTTGAGTAAATTCGTTCCAGCCTCTTTTAAGGCACTCATTGCATTCGAACGCAAAGAATCTTTGAAAGATTGCTTATTATTTATAACATCCATTGCGATATTTTTAACTGCTGACTTTATGGGAGGCACAACGTGTGGTAACAGTGATTTTACAAAAGGTAGTAAACGACTGGCTATGGCGCCAAAAACTCCACCAAGACCAGCTCCCTTTTGTCGATAATAACTTGCCTTATAAGCCAATGATCCTCCAATCTGAGGTTCGTAGGCTTGGTAGTAATCATCATAATCGTTTTCTGAATACATTTTAGAAACGTTTTCTTCTAAAATGAAGTGTAGCACTAAAACTTCCAAATGAGAATGGAGGAGGTTCACCAAACTCGTTCCTTATATACATGTGAATATAGTCCATGGATGGTTTTGCCACTGAGACATATTGTAAATTGTTGAACGTTTTTGAAACAATTTTATCAATATCAGTATAAGGATTTACAAGCGATCTTAGGATTGGTGCTGTGGTATCGTCCACATGCTGGTTTTCGACAATGTCACAATAAATATAATATCTCGAGTTATTTGATTTAAAGTTGAATTTATAATCTGCTTGTAAGCTTGAGTTACAATGAATTTGATGAGGGAATCCAAGTATGTTGGCCATTTGCGTATTAAATTGAAAATCGTAGACTACATCTTCTTCAACTGTCCGAGTGGATAAAAGAGTATATCCGTTGTAATGTTTAAACAAAAAGTCCTTTGTAGACATTGCTTCAAGTAAATCGTCAAATGTTTCGATATTAGTATTGTTGCAAACTGTTATCCATTCATCCTGAGTTTTATACTCGGAATACGTATTATTTTTAAACAAGTCAAGTGACACAATATTATTATAAATTGTTTTGTTTTCATTTACGGGGCTATTAATGTCATTACTTTTTATTAACACTTCGTACAATTCATCGCCCTTTCCAAAACGAATTGGTGTAGATGGATAAGCACATTCTACCAAGGCTACTTCGTACGAGTTGGGCTCCAAAATTATTGGTGAGCATAACCAATTTCTAAAGCTTGATATCGTATTATCTTGAAAGTGAGAAAATGAGGAGTTGCTCTCAATGTGAACATAAAAGGACGACATGATGACGTTTCTTCAATTCTGAGGACTAAACTCGTGTGACGTTCACAAAATTTTTGTAAGCCATTTTATAGTCAATTTTCGGGGTTTTTATTAATCGTCGAACATGTAACAAGCAAACCCTGCAATCAGTTTTATTTTGGATTTCGTACTCTGACAATTCGGTTTCGTAACCGTCTTGAGATAAGGTTTGGTTTGATTTTCCACTTTCAATTATAGAATATGAGCAGATTATTACGAGTAACGTTATATCAAATGCCAAGATAAAAAGGCTCAACCAAACTAAATGTTTGGGTATACAGTAGAAAGGCATTTTTAAACTTGAAGACTCTGCGAGTAACTAAGAATTGAATGAGTATTACTTGTCTATATAGAGGTAAAATGATTCGTTGATGGTTTTTAAGATAAGTGGGGAATTTGAGACAATTGGGGTAAATTGAGATACTTGAATAAAATGAGACAAATAGGGTAAATTGAGACATTTTTGATAATTTAGTCTCAAACGTTCCGCCATCATTTCTTCTCAACCCATGTACCCCCATCTGAAAGATTTTTTTCCATAAGAAATACATTGTTGGGGTAATTTGAGATTTTGGGTAATTTTAGTAATTTGGGGTAATCAGAGACACCAGGATAATCTATGGCACGGGGGTAAACTGAGATATTTGGGGCAATTTGAGAAGTCCCGTCATTATTTTTCGACACATGAAAATACATCTGAGACTTTGGTTACTATAAGCAGTCAGCATATCCTTGCAATACATACCCATGCTATAAAGGCCTTGTGGCGAGAAGCCCTAACCGTCTTTTTCCCTCATAAGGCAATGTATGGTGGCGAGAACCCATATTTTTTCCCGTAAGGAAAAGTATGTGGCGAGGAGCCCTCTTTTTCCTCATAAGAAGTGTGTGATGAGGACCCGTCTTTTTTCCCATAAGAAATAGAGTGGGCGAGAAATCCGTGGCTTCTCCCATAAGAAATGAAGTGGGTGAGAACTCCGTGGCTTCTCCCATAAGAAATAAAGCGGGCGAGAAATCCTTGGCGAGAAAACCTAGCCAAGGATTTCCCCATAAGAAATAAAGCGGGCGAGAAATCTTTGGCGAAAAAACCTAGCCACTTCTACTACTATGACTAGCGAAAAGTGAAAACAAAATGAGAGAGAACGACGCAATTTATTTATTTGTAGATGAGATGAGATCACGCATCCTGTCATGTGAAACCAATAGAGTTTTCTATAAAGATTCACAAAATCCAGTGAAGAACAGTGTTCGCCAAAAAAAACACGAAAATAATTTTTTATAAATCTTTTGCATTTTTCCTATCGCCATCTTGCGGCGTACATTTTAAATGTCATGCTATAAGATTCAAAAAAGCAAAACCACACCCATTATTTGAAATACAGCAATCAAGCAAAAAAAATGTGTTTTTGGTTTCGGAACCCTGGCAAGAGACAGATAAAAATACTAATGAAATGGCAAAATGAAATCCCCCCAATAAAGTACTAGTACATGAATCATAAACCTTGACGAACTATGCAATTTTTTATAAGGTTTATTTCTTCATTTTTAAACAGAAAAAATACTACACAAAATAAACGCTTTGATAAGAAGCAACTTTTATTGAATTCATTTTAACAAACTCGTTCAAAAACTATATTGTAAAGGTCTTGGCGTCATGAATTGCTCTACAAGAGCGTCATCCACCACTGCTCGACGTTTCTGAATGTCTGCCACCATTTCTTGCAATTCCTTGATGAGAACCGCTTTAAGCTCCCCGGTCAACATTTTACCACTCGTGTAATCCTAAAATTATGTTAAAATAATATTATTTCAAATTGACAGAAAAAGATAACTTCCTTAAATATTTTCTTGAAATATTAACTTACTTGACGCATAACCTCCAACTTTTCTTCATCATGATAGAAAAACTTGAGATATTGGTAGGAAACATCGATCTCACAATTTGCACCAAATTCTCTCTGTTCCATCGCTGTAGCCCGACCCCCGGAGAAAGCGTACTTATTTATCTGCGGGATAAAAATTATTACTTTCTCCCTCTTGTACATATGTAAATCATATTATCGCTTTTTTTCACAAAACTTATCCATATTTTTTTCCCCACCTTATCCTTAATCTGTTCTTGCGTATCTGTCAAGAAAATGGCGGAAGTTTCATCTGACGCCGACATTTTGCTCTGAGCTCCTTGCAACGCAGGGAAAAAGACTGAATGAATCAGGGCAGGTTTATGCAGACCGACGCGTGGCGCAACGTCACGTGTCATGCGAAAAAATGGATCCTATTAAAAAAAGTATAAATTTTGATTTAAAATACTGAAAAAAAACATTTAAAAATTTAATTCTAAAAAAATTGTAAAATTTACTTGATCAATCGCACACGGAATTAGGCATGGGATATCTTTCTTCCCGTTGAAAATGAAGGGAAAACTTCCCGAGAAGCTGGGTGCTGCTTCGATGGACGGGAAGTGAATTTTTCCAATTGAATCTATCCCCAAAAATTGCAATTTTAAATATTTATGGAGGTAACCATTTTTTTGAAAAAGTCACTTAAAATTTCTTACCACCCTCCTTAAACCCAAAACATCCCTTGGCTTGGTTGAAGGTCACGTTTTTCGCGACTAGTTGAATATTTTGGTAAAATTCTGGAGATTGACTGTTTAAGGGAGAAAAGTAAAATTAGAAACAAAAATAATATTAGAAGAAAATATGTTCTATTGGTAAGTTGTGTTTTTACCCGATGTATCGAAAATTTGAAAAGATGAAAGTTTTGTTGATGTCGAATCCGCAAGCGATGATATCTTTAGCATTTTCCTTGGCCAACTAAATATTAATAATAAAATAAATCAGTTTAAGAAAAATATAGGAAACCACACCCCCTGAAAGTTTATTTAATAAACTTTCTTACCTCCATTGATTTCTCAATCGTAAGGTCGTTTCTCCAAATAAATTTTTCATCGTCAGTCAACTGAATAACGAGTGGGACGTCAAATGCGTCCTGTAATCACCTGAGAATTTCAAAATTTTGAGGAATATTTGAAATTCAAAAATACATTGTCATAAAATTATATAAATTTAAAAAAATGATATGCATACTTTGTAAAAATGAATGGGATGAGATGTCCCAAATGCATCGATTCTGACGAAGGTCCCCTTCCCGTGTACAAGTAGAAGGGCTGACCTTTTTCCTTCCTGTCCAAAATGAACTCAAGGTCGCGATGACTAAAGAACACGCCACGTTTCAAGAGAGCGTGTGCCTTTTTTCCGATAACACGTTCAATGCGTGCTATAAGCTCGTCGGAAATTCGTTGACATCCAAACTTGTCTGCAAATAATACAAAAAAGTGTTATAAAAATTGACCGGAATTGAGGGGAAAATGAGACAAAATAAAAACTTACTGATAAGTTTATCATAATCGATCCCAGTCTCAGATTTGCTCTGAACGTTCCATGGATCAACGATGTCGTCATCACCGCCAGCCACTTCAACGTTGTTGTCTTCTTGAGACATTTTTTTAAAAAAGAAATAACAAATTTGAAATGTACGGAAATAAATAAAATGTGGTTGTATCAGGAGAACGACAAATCGTACAATGAGCTCAAGATTGGGAGAATCTCCTTATTTTATTACAGTACGATTTGTACATGAAATTCTCTCAACATGGGGATGCGAGTAGTTTTCATGGATCGAGCGATGTATGTACGTTAAAACATGATGGATTCGTATTAAAATAATGTGCAAAGTAAAATGACTATTAAGTAACTAAATGGTATAGAAATAGTTATGAAGGAAACTATAATATTTGAACAATTAACGACATTATGATGATTGACATTATTACGTGCGAATTGTAAAGGTATATTTATTGTAAGCTGCATTCATGCTTTGTCATGAAATACTGCAAATTCCCAGATGACTCAAAGTCACAAGAGGAGTCGCCAATAAATTTTGTAATCTGAAATTTTTTGTATTTATGATACCTATTACTAATCTATGAATGTGTCGTAAATTTTAGGTATATAATTTGGGCGTATTAACTTCATCTCTGCTATTTAGTCAGGTTGATAAGTTTTAAGGGAAAGCAAGAGTGAAATTGATTAATTAATATTAATGCATTGACGCCTTACATCCTGTCTGGATGATTGTAATAATTCTAATACCTATGTATGATTTTGTGTCTAACTTATCTCACATATTGACAAATTCCAGGCACATGAAGCAATTCTCTAAATAAAAACAAATTCATGGGATTTTGCGAAATCTCATATTTGTTCTACGTTTCTGCATTCTTAGAAAGATATAGGGAAGGAAGAGATGCACAAATCTTCAAATCCAAGCATGCACTTGAGTAATTCTCATCTCATGAGTTTTCTTGCATTTCATGAGATGCATCTGAAAATAACGTTTTAAGACCAGACTTCTGACTCAACAAGACTCACTCTTTTTGCGCGTTATGCAAGAAGATAAGCAAATAAACACTTGAAAATGTTGTATTTGCTTAAAATATCACACATCCGTTCGGTTTGGCATTGGCAAAAGCAATAGTCTTCTCTTTCTAATGGGTATGGATTTTCATGAATGTTCATGTATTTGCTTAAACTTAGTTAGTCATGAAATGCAGGTTGTAAACCTTGAGCTTTTATTTGTTCCATGATTCTCGCTGAAACGTTTGCAGAATTGTATAATTGTACATACTCATGATGAGCAATAAACTTAAAAAAAATCGCGATATAATTCAATCTGGTCAGATATTGCCATTTACTTAATTTTTGCACATTCGCTGTTGTTTTAGCATGGATTCTATCTATCCATCCATACTGCAGTGACACACGACAAAGATCATGCACAAATATTTTTACTACAAAATCTCATGATTCTTACGTATAGTTCATCCCCACAATTCATAAGAACTCTTTACCACCTTCTTATACAAATGTAGTTAAGGTTCCAAATTAAATACGTTCCGAAGTGCTCTCACTTCCCATCAGTGACTTATCTGAACAAGATTTGAGTCAGTTAGTCGTAATCGTTCATCCAGAGAGCGCTTTAATTCTAAATAATTCAGCAAAATAATAATCACGCATTTACATACATAAAAAAATGGCAAGACCCAACCCATTCGACCAAGCGGGTCCGATATCCTTGCTAATATTTGCATGGATCTGGTCACTCTTTCAAAAAGCGAAAAAAGCTGGTGGTTTAAACCGTGACGACATTTATCCAGCCCCTGATAAGGATAAATCACAAAAAAATGCAGATAAACTGGAAGAGTAAGCATAATAAAAATATTGTAATATTTAATTAAACCTGTTAAAATCGAGGAACTAACAAATTTCAGGTATTGGGAAAAAGAAGAAGGCTCGACAGTTGTAGTGTTCACTATTCCAGAGACAGAACCACTTGCACAAAATTCTGCAGAAAAATCTACAAAAAATGGACATCGAGATGAGTCACGCGTCCAGATCCAACGCCCATCCTCCAGACAATCTAGAGAAAATGCATCTTTGCTCCGTGCGATTTTCAAGGCGTATGGAACTTCTTATTTTCTCACCTGGATTCCAATCTTTGTTACGGATTGCTTATTCAAGTATTTATATGAATAAAATTAGTCTAGAAATTGCTATTTTATAATTATTCACAAATATGCCAATTTTTTCAGAGTCATCCAACCTCTCACCCTGCTCTGGTTTGTTAAGTCATTTTCACCCCAAGAGGAAAACAATGGGAGAAGTTGGCAATACATTTACGCCGCGTTTATTACAATTACCACGCTATCAATAACAATGACCAGCAATCCGAGTCAGTTTTGTTTACAGAGGGTATCAAATTGGGTTAGGATCGCGTTGACTTGTCTGATTCAGAGAAAAGTATGAATTTTTAGTAATAAATAATTTGATAGACAATTTTAACAAAAATTGTTTCCAAACTTTTGTCCAGATGCTAAAATTGAGTCAGTCGTGCCAAATTCCTGCAAAACCTTCAAAGTAATTTCAAGTAGTATCTTTTTTCTCATTTTTAAAATAAACCAAAAATCTTGTTTCTACTTTTAGGGGAAACAATGAGAAACCAAACGAACCAATCAAAATTGATGACGCATTTGTGACCAATTTAATCAGCAAGAATGCCAACGTTGAAGACAAGCTGGCCCAATTTCCGTACATTTTTATTGCACCGATTCAATTCGTGCTGCTGTTTTACTTTTTGTGGCAAGAATTTGGATGGCCGTGCATTCCTGGGATTATATCAATTTTTCTGTACATGCCATTTCAATGTAAGTTGGTCAAATCCATTACAAAAAAATATATTTTATATAAATATTTTTTAAAGATTGGTATGCTGCAAAATCTGGAGAATATCGAGGTAAAATCAACGAAGCCAGTGGAGCCCGGACATCTCTCATAAATGAAATAATTGCTGGAATACTTACTATCAAGACGTACACTTGGGAGAACGTATTTCGAGAACAAGTCAATAAAAAAAGAAAGTAAATATGTGAAAGTATGAATAATATCAAAATTTCCGTATCCTAAAAAAATCTTCCCTCTTTAAATACATTTAGAGCTGAAGTCGCCAAACTTAAAGATCTAAAGGTTCTAATCTTCACGCTTTCCAAATGGCCGTCTTTCTCACGTCGTCGCGGTTAATTCCATTTTTGACATTTATCTCCCTCGCTCTTTGGGGAGGTCCGCTCACTCCGGAGAAAGTATTTTTTGCCACAGCCGTCTACAATACGGCGACACATTACATGGTTTATCTTCTGCCAGGGGCGTGTAAAAATGTAGGAGAATTTTTAGCCTGCATAAAAAATATTCAGGTAAAATAAAATACAGAAAAAATCCAAAGGTTTCAATTTCACCATGATTTTTTTGGATAGGAATTTCTACTACTGCAAGAGAAACATGATTCCGAAGGGTACAAAAGGTCCGACCTGTCAGAGAAAGTTCCTAAGTTCCCATCAATTAATTTAGAAGACGCGGTTGCAGAGTAAGTAGATTTTTTATAGAAAATAAAACAATTTTCATGGATTTTCATGTGTTTTCATCCATTCAGATGGGAATCAGGGAAAGGTATCAAATCGATCAGTTTAACCATTTCTGATCCAAAATTGGTGATGGTGGTTGGAGAAACAGCTTCCGGAAAGGTTTGTATCGTGGAAAAATCAAAAGTACTATTTGCAAAAAAAAATAATTATTCCGCAATTTTGTACACAGTCGTCATTTCTGCAACTACTTCTTGGCGAATTATCCCTAATCTCTGGGAGGTGCAAGATTCATGGAAAATTAAGCTACTCTGCCCAAAAACCTTGGATTTTTCATGACACTGTAAAAAACAATATTCTCCTTCATGAAGACCAAGATCGCACGACGTATAATTGGGCCGTATCTTTAGCAATGTTGAACCAAGACTTTCAAGCTCTTGAACATGGCGACGAAACAATCGTCGGTGACGGTGGAAGTGGCTTATCAGGTGGGCAAAGGACTCGTGTCGATTATGCGAGGACGTTATACCAACAAGGCGACATTCTCTTGTTGGACGACCCACTTTCTGCTCTGGACGGAAATGTGGCTCGAGACTTGTTACGTGGTCTAAAGGAGGATAAAGAATTGGCAAAAACGTTACGAATTTTGGTCACAAACAAGTTGCAATATTTGAAAGAGGCGGATTATATTGTGGTCATGCATGAGGTACTTGAATTTCTGAAATTGAGTAATTTTTGAAAAAAGCGTTTGTAAAATTTTCTTAAAGTGAATTTTTAGAAATGTTGCAAAAAATGTTTTCGTAGTTTATTTATTGTATTTCTTCCAGGGAAAAATTACAAGTTATGGAACTTATCAAGAACTGGAGGGTAAAGGAGACGAAATTTTGGTCAAGGCAAACGCTGGAGGAGAAGACGTTGACAGTTTGACTTCTGAGGCTCAAGAAAGCAACACTACAGAAAATACTGTTACCAGCAAAATTGTAAAATCTGAAAATTTTGAAAATAGCGATCAAAAATCTCGTGCGAGTGGAAACATTGGACTGAAAACTTATCTAAAATACTTCACAGCAGCAAATCGTTCATTCCAATTTTCTTGGCATGTTTTAATGTTTATCATATCACAAGTATTTATCACCGTGATTGAATATTGGGTCGTTTTATGGTAAAATGCACAAAAAAATACAAAAATCATTATATTTACACCATAAATTTCCTGAAATTTGTAAATAGGACTATGTCGCAATCGGAGAGTTCCGTTCGTTCATTTACCAGAAATGGAAACCACACTGAAATTGCATCAAATGACAATGGTTCTGAAAATGTTACAGATTTTTCGAAACAAGGAGATGACGATGGTACGACAATTTCGCCATTTTTGCAAGGTATGGATTTGTCTCGATAAATTGATGCAAAATCTACTAAAAACAATTTAATCTTTTGTATAGACGACCCTCAAATCATTCATGGGGCAACCATGACTGTTCCCATTCTCTGGTTGGAACTCCAACTCCCAATTTACTCCCAAGACACGTACATGACCATCTACTCAATCCTAACGGGCGCCGTATTCGTCACAAATCTTTTCAAAGCGTTAGGATTTTTCAATTATTGCATAAAAATCTGCAATAATATGCACCGGAAAATGGCGAATGTTCTTGTTCGGGCGAGACCTTCGTTTTTTTCTAAAACTCCTGGGGGAGAAATTCTCAACTATTTTTCAAAAGACATGGACATTGTTGATGAAGCCATTCCAATGTCATTTTTTAACATGTTAACAATTTTTCTTCAAATTGGAACCGTCATTATTTTGCTGGTTCTTGCAAACGTTTGGACTATTCCGGCCATTTTGATTTTTATTGTTATGTTGAGCAGTATTCGGAAATATTACGTTACGACGTCGAGAGATTTGAAGAGGATTGATGGAGAAGGTATCTTATTTTGCGATTTTGTAGCACTTTTTTTGTAAATGTTGTGAAATTACCTAAGAACTCTGACGAATTTAAATAAAATAATTTATAATTTAGTTCGTGGCGAAGTCTGCTCCAAATTGGCGTGTTATGATGGTCTCCCTACGATCAGGGCGGTCGGCGCAGAAAACAGAATGTCGAAACGGTTCGATGAAACCCAGGTAAGATTTTGTAAAATTTGATTAAATCAGAATTAAGATTTTCTTATAAATTCGCATTTCTTTAGGATGTCCATACCTCCTCAATATTTTTGTTTACGGCAGCCAAAACTTGTTTCAGTCTGTGGGTCGAGTTAGTGTCGATCTTTCTTCTGGGTGCGGTCGCGTTTGGTTTTCCAGTGGCTCAAAATTGTGAGGAAATTGTAAAAATATGTTTCCCAATGTTAAAATATTTATATTAGAATTTTGAAATATAAATGTAGATCTTGGAATCGAGTTTGGTGGTGGAAATGTCGGACTGGCTGTTTGCTCTGCTATGTCATTCACAATTTGGCTAAATTATGGAATGATGGTTTCCGCAGATGTGGAAAACAGCATGGTTGCGACGGAGAGAGTCGTAAATTTTGCTAAAAATACACCAACCGAAGAGGAAGACAAAGGTATTAAATAATTCAGGAATTATAAAGTTGTAAAATTTTGCATTAAAAATTTGCAATTTTGTTGCAAATTTCAGGTCCATCCGATTCGCCAACCTGGATAGGAAGCTGGTGTCCTATTTCCTTCCGAAACTTTAGCCTCCGTTACACACAAGAAAGCTCTGATGTCTTGCAGTTCATTAACTTCGAGGTTACCTCCGGTCTAAAGGTTGGAGTCGTGGGAAGAACCGCAGCCGGAAAAAGTTCTATTTTTGCTGCATTGTTTCGACTAACTGATCCAAACACGACAACCCCGGGTGGCATATTGGTTGACGGAAAAGATATTTTAGAACAACCGTTGCACACAGTAAGACGCAGCATTACAATGGTACCACAACACCCAGTAATTTTTCAAGGAACGCTTCGATTCAATCTGGACCCGAATAATGAATACGATGATATACAGATGAACACTTTTTTAAGAGACGTTAGAAAATCAATTATTTATGCAGTTTTTTTTTGCATAATGCTATCTTGCAACATGTTACTTCGCATAATTTTAGATTGGACTGAAGCAAAGCTTGGATTTTAAAATAGACGGGGGAGGATCAAATCTTGCCGCTGGGGAACGTCAACAATTATCCTTAGTGAGGGCACTTCTTCGTTTATTGAAGACCCCAATATTTGCTTTAGACGAAGCAACAGCAAATATTGATAGCAGGTATTTTCATAGCTAAAATGTGTATCGGCACAGTACTTTAAAAAAAATATCGGAAATTTCCACAGCACTGAGGAAAATATCCAGAAGATATTGAAAGAGCGTTTGCAGAGACGTACCGTCCTTACAATTGCGCATCGCTTGGAAACTGTTGTGGATTCTGACAAGATTCTTGTTCTACGGGAGGGGAAAGTTGTGGTAAAATTAAGAAATTTTTACATAAATGAAATTGGCTATTAATAAAAGAATAATTTAACTTGTACAGGAGTATGACACACCACAGAACTTGATCAAAAATCCAAATAGCGAATTCTTAGCTATGATTGAAAAGAACAAGACTCAAAAACGGGACGAATTATTGGATAGGATTAGAGCATCAGAGAATTAAATTTAAAGTTGACATATTTTGTAATAGTTTTGGTAGATGTAAATTTAAGAGCCTAACTTTCAGTCATAGATTGTTTAGTTTTTTAACACAGTTCTTGCCTTATTACTTATAAATTAACGATTGTTTTAATTAGATTTTAAAGTTATAAACTTTACCTGCAAAAAAAATAATTTTAGCAATATTGTCACCCTTGTAGAACCCATAATAAAATGTGTGACTACCGTTTGTTTAATATAAACATAATTACCACGAAAATGCTAAAGATCGTTTTCTCTGCTTCTAATTCTATCCTTATCAATGTGAACATCAAACACATTTTTTTTCCTTCCGTGTACGAAAAATGAGAAAAATCCGAGGGAGAACATGCAAGATCGAGATGATGTGTCAATGTCAAATTACGTCAAATCTCATTCTTTCTCCAAATTATGTGTCTATTCTTACTCAAGGTGAACCCTCACTTCACCTTTTGCTCTATCACGCGAATTGTTATTTCTTGTTACATAATTAGCGGAGAAAGTAATTCTGACAGCTTGCACTTTTTCTCTTAATGTGTAGAATTTAACGAAAATCACGCCATACCGGAGATAATTTCTATTTTATCTCCCCATCCACAATCACCACGAAATAATAAGAAATTCAGAGATAATCATTCCCACAAAATTCATCTTGGAACAGGGAATTTAAAATTAATTGAACTAAAAGCAATCAAGGGAGAGCATTCTCGAAATAATTTTCTCCTCTCACTCTGTTGAATTTGCTAATTAATTAAAATGTGTGGCCATGTCTAAAAACTTTCATTTTCTCACGTTCCTTTCCTAGACGAACTTGTGTCACCTCGAGTTGGAAATGAAATTAATTGATGAATGGTGGTGGTGAAAGAAAGGAGGAAAGTGTGAAAGGGGAGCAACTTTTGTGAAGGAAGGACGGAAATCGCCTCCAGTGAGACAAGTTCTTTCTTCTCTCGGTGTGAAAATCAGTGGACTGGAATTTTAAAAGTTGTCCATTAACACCACAGAAATGAATGGAATAAAATGTAAAATTTCTTCAGTTAAATCACGACATGGTTTAGGTGATGGATTAAAATGTCATCTATATGTAGGTGAAAACAAAGCGCGTACAACGAGACCGATCTTGACATTACATTTGGTTAGTTAAATTATTAGAAAATTCAAAAATTGGTAATAAATCCTAACTATTTTATTTGTCAAACGTCCGGAAAATCCTAAATTCAACACAATTTTATTATTATGTATTACTAATGTTCAACAAACATAATTTCCTTCATTTCCATAAAAAAGAGTCAGAAACAGTTAGTAAATAGGTGGCGTGCCATGCATAAGAAAAATGTTTTAATGTGAAATGTAACTTAAGAGAAAAAAACATCCATTAACACTTGTTAGATTTCGAACAAATTGCCCAAAATGAGGAAAACATTGTGGAAGGCAATCCTCCCCTCAAGCTTCAAATTCCAATGTGTCGCGTGAAAACGTGGAGACAATCAGAATTCAATTTCTGGACGGGATCCGTATTCAGCCGGCATCTCTTTTAACACGATACACAAAAAAAACTTCCTCCTTTTTTTATTCAATCCGCTGAACAAGAGGAGGAAAAGTGGCTTCATTCCGTCATACAGTTGAATGCCTTCCAATTTGAGGAGATATTTCTGTGAAAAGAAAAAAAAACTAGTATTTTTAACTCTTTTTTTACATTCTTCCTGTATAATGGAGACACTTCTTTTGGTTGAGATGCATAATTGACTGCAAAATTTCCGGTTATTCAGGGCGATGCGAAGATCCAACAATAACGGTGTCTCAATAAATGTCAGTCTTTTATTAGGTATTTATTCCGTTATTGGAATGATTTATGCATCATGTTTTGTAACTTCTATTTTTTTGTAATTTGCTCTTCAAGTATTTTGATCATATTTAGGAGGAGAACCCTTCACCTTGATAATGACCGATCGCGATGCCCTTTGGATATGTGATAGTACCCGGTGAGAGAACAAAAAGTGAAAAGCGGTTTCATGCCATGGCCACACCCACCGGAGATATTTGACCTCAAAGTTACCCCCCTATTACTAATACATATGCAGTATAGGATTTTGTCATATGAGAAAAATTTTTGGCTCCCCTGAAATATATTTAATTAAAATCTTTTTCACGAAATAGCGTTCAAATCATACATTTTATTTTTTGAATGCTCATAATTCTCTTAAATATGTATGATTTGAACGCTGTTTCGTGAAAAAGATTTTAATTAAATATATTTCAGGGGAGCCAAAAATTTTTCTCATATGACAAAATCCTATACTGCATATGTATTAGTAATAGGGGGGTAACTTTGAGGTCAAATATCTCCGGTGGGTGTGGCCATGGCATGAAACCGCTTTTCACTTTTTGTTCTCTCACCGGGTACTATCACATATCCAAAGGGCATCGCGATCGGTCATTATCAAGGTGAAGGGTTCTCCTCCTTAGTATGAAAACTGTGATAGAATTTTGTGACGAGTCGAAGCGAAAGCCATATCTAAAATCTAGGGTTATATTGTATACATTAACTTTTTAATTTTCGATGCGTAACACTACCTAATATATTTTTATACTAGGAATAAAAAAAGTACGTATATTTCTCACCTTCCTTTAACAAATTCTTTACGTTTTTTGGTAACAAATTCTTTATATTTCTTCCCAGAGTAAAATACCAGCCGTGTTCAGGAACTAGAAGGGAGTGGAATTCTTACCGAATTCTCTCTCTACAAGATTCCACATTTTTGTCATTTTTATCATTTTATCTCCCCAACTCTTCTCTTATTCTCTCTAGAGAAGTGCTGGAGTCTTTCTCAGCGTCATGATTCCATTAGGACAGGACGAACAAGAACAAGGAATAGTAGTGGCTTGGGGAGAAACAACCCTTTCTTTCGAGGGAAAACGACCCACCCAAAAAATACTCTTTGTTCGTCTTCTAATGCACATGAGACAGATATAGGGGAAGGGTATTTTTCGTGGGTTGTAAGTAATTTCTAAGGAATGGTACAGGATCCTAAAAGTATTTTTAGGTACATTGAAAACGGTTGAATTGGAGAAAGTTCTTAGATATATATGGACATCATCTCTCGTTGGTTTTGTTGGACATATCATCTGGACTGCAGAGTTTGGTCATGTTTGACAAAGTGACACAACCGCTACAGACGTCGAAATGATGAGATAACTCGTGTTACTAGTTGACTCACTCCGACAAATTTTGTTAGACTGACCGACGAATGCCACACAATAGGGTAGCCTGTGGACAAATGTGTCGTCCCATTAAGATCTTGTTGAACATGGAGATGTCCCCCCTTCCTGTGGACACATTTGCTCAATTATCCTCATTTTGAAAGGGACAAGAAAAAGGGAACCCAATTATTTTTATTGATATTTTGACTCTTTTGTCTAGATATTTTTTTATCTCGACAGAAAGAACGAGTTGGTGAAAGTCGAGACTTACTACTAATTTTAGAGGGAATCCTTTTTTTCTGTAGTGACATTTTGAAGTACCTACGATTTCGACTTGTCAAAGGCATAATATAAATTTTTGAATCTGTCTCCAAACTTTTCGAATTAAATATACATTGATATCATTGAAATGTGAATAGGATCGAAATTCTCAATTCATTCGATGTTAGTTTGCTTGCGGTCAAGGATTGAGAGGGACTAAAGAAATGTGGAGTCGGGAAGAATTAAAATATTCAAAGTGCGGTGTGGTCAGTAAGATGTCGGAACTTCAAAAATAAATTTATTTTCCTTCGATCCCTCTCCATTCTCTCCCTTGGGGATCTCTTTCTTTCCCTACCGACAAGGCCTTTAGGGAAATGTGTTGAATTGTATTTCAAACTTTTTTTCTAGCTTAGACCGAATTTTGTTGAAATTCTTCTGAATGGACAGACTTGTTTGAATAGAGTTTGTGAACATTCATGATATATGGAGACATGGGAATCAAATGAATCAATATATGTATGTCTGCGTTCGCAGTTTAATTTCATATTTACTTATTTTGCCATGTTAATTTGAACATTTATTTTCATCTGTGTGTGGTACTAGAGAGAAAATCTGAATAGCACATTAAAAGTTAACGACCCAGAGAGCTGTGATGGTAATTAAGCTGTCCACCAGAGTAATACAGTTTTGCTGCATTAGTTTTCTCAGATTAGATAATTGTGTGGCCTGGCTTTATTTGATGAAGGCGAGAAAAGAGAGGCAGAGAAAGTGGAATCTAGAAGACGGCCACCATTTCATTTTCAGGAGTTAAGGAGTTATCTAGTAAAATGCATGTTGGAGAAAGAAAAGGGTTATCCCCATAATTCTGTCCATTTCGAAGGGACATCCACTTACTTTTATGACCACGCTAAGCACTTGAGGACACATTTTACCAAAGATGAGAAAGCGAGGAGGGGAAAATATTCATGATTTATGCACATCCACTGGACTCTTAAGTTCAATATCTGATACTCGAATTTGGATATTATCATCACCTCGGTAAATTTGTAATAAAATCGGCAACCCTACCTAGCACATGTAGATGATAAAAATAATGAGCAATCGTAATGATCGTTCAAAATTTGAACGGACTTTCTCCACTACATTCATACCTGAACATGCTGCATCCGAATTGATTTCCCACTTCGGTCATTCAATCGGAAAAACTTTCAACGAGGGAACACTAGTACTGGTCAGAGGAAATAAAAGTGACCGTTTTGAGTGAAATACAAAGTAGTGGGTTCCTAGGAACTCATTTACTCAAAGTTTTATCTCATCATCATCGCCAAGCAGGCCCTTATTCGGATTATCGGGTTTTTCGGGTAGAAATTCATACGAGATCCAACACAAACCAAACAGATCTAAGTTTTAATTGTTATTTCAAAATTAACCTTTTTCAAAATTGACCTCAAAATCTTACATAAAAATACGAACTTTTAACAGACTCTACCAAATAAACGGTTAACTTTGCATCTAAGAAATAAAAAAATTGGTTTATTAAATGTAAAAATTTAGAATTACAATAATTGATAACGAAAACCAAATTTTATTCGTTACATCAAAATTTAAATTTGAAAAAACAAGTTGACAAAATCGAATTTTGCAAATAAAAAAAAATTTAATCTCCAAATCTCACATAAAGACATTTACTTTGAATGGACTCAATAATCCACTGAATAGAAA